AAAGTCGTGAAGTAATAAGAGAACATGAATTTTATGTTTCGTCATCATCAAGAAGATTAAAATTCAATGCCTTGGTAACGACCTATGAATTCATTCTTAAAGATCGTCAAGAATTAGGAAATATTAAGTGGCAATATTTGGCAGTTGATGAAGCACATCGATTGAAAAACAGCGAATCACAACTCCATGAAGTATTGTCTACTTTTCATACATCTAATCGACTTTTAATAACAGGCACACCATTGCAAAATTCTGTTAAAGAACTATGTGCACTGGTTAATTTTCTCATGCCTAATTTTTTGATCACCTCCGATATTGACATTGATGCACCCGACGAGGAACAAGAAGCAAAAATTCGTGAACTTCATAAAAGTCTTGAGCCCCATATTAATATCAATAACAACGACATGTGATCTTATTTTATAATAGAAGTTCCCCAATAGGCAACCTATAAAACCGCCAAAATATGCTAAAAATTATGAACGCGAGATCAATTATATAACAGAATCATTATTATTAAATAATGAAGATAAACGCAACTTCTGTAATCCTGTAATAGGATTTGATTCCTGAAGAGGAGATAGCCCGCTTGCTACTCTTCCTTTGAGTACACAAAATACACTAGATCTAAAAGTTATTATCCATACAAAACATCAAGTAAAAGACTTTACAAAATTTTTTAATGATGACTGATATAAACAGTATTTTGTTACAAACTTAATTTATAAACACTATTATAATAAAGGTAAATCATAAAGTATAAAAATCTAAAATAAATATAAGGTCTTTTTTTTAAGATGAAAATCATATTCAATTAAAATTTCTTACCAAAACGTAAATATATATATATTTATATATTTAATTTAATATTAATATTTGGAGTCCCATCAGTATTTACAGTTTGATTGAGTTTTTCGATAACACCTTTTTTACCATTCTTTAAATCAAAATTATCATCATTTAAATCGAATGATTTATTGTTGCTTTCATATACAAAAATACCTTCGTCATAAATTTTATCGTCATCTTCGTCATCATCATCATCATCATCACTATTGTAATTATTAGCATTTTTTCTATTAGCAGTATCATCAACTTTTTTCTTTTTATCAAATGATTGATACGCAGGTTTTTTGTGATATTCATCTCCTCCTTTATCAACGTCAATTTCAATATTATTGGGATAAACAAAATGATCACCATCATCATCAGATCTATACTCAAAATCATTATTATTCAATTTAATATTCTTATTGATAATACCCTTGGTTGAAATAAAACTAGCTGACACGTTAATTCTATCCATGTTGTCTGGTAGTGGTCCTGGTGAGGGACTGGTTAGACTATTGAGTGAATGAGGAATAAATGCTGATGCATGTGGATTAAGGCTGGTGGCAGGTGAGATGACGGAGCTTGTTTGCTTGCTTGCTTGTGGAATTGGTATAGCAGTTGTTTTAGAAGAAGTGGAGATGATTGGATTATTATTGGTGGTTTCAAACATACTACTTGAAAGTCTACTTGAACCAATTGGCTCATCAACGGTTAGTTCTGTGAGAATTGTTGAATATTCAGCTGATCTTGATAAATTGTTGTATGAAAGTAAAGAATTATCAACTTTATTTGTGTCGTTATTAATTGTAATATTATTGTTGTTATTTGATAAGATTATGTCGTTAATAGTTGAAGTAATTAACGATGATTTTTTTTCATCTTTTTTGATGAAGGATTCTTTTGGAAGAACAAATGATCCATCACAAACTTTTATTACTTCAGTGTTATCATCGTCATTGCTATTATTAAGCTCAGTTGTCCGAGAAAT